GAGCATAATCACATTGTCTAAGCCTCCAGGAGTCTTGAAGCACTTGGTCTCATGGACAAGTAAATCCACTAAAAATGCTCACTGGAAAGACCACAGGATCCGAAGAAGAAACCTGACAAAGTGAGAATGGCACGGAGAAACACAACCTGAAATAGCTTGGCTATTTCTCCTCCTGTGCTCTGGGCAGCCATTGCAGTTAAATGTGCCAGAAGCCATGACTATAGAAGGCAGAAGATGAGACCTATGTATGAGCTGCTGACTAAGAGGCACTCCACAGAGAAGCCTCCTAAACTGAATGACAACATTATGAAATGTATTGACTTCATTATATTTTGTCCTTTACTTTTTAAATTACAAAAGAAATGTCTTAGTACAAAAACAGCAGTGCAGATCTTCTCCTCTCCTCTCCTGTCTAACTCTCTAGAACAATATCCATTATGAAGAGGTTGGTCTATACTATATTATCTATCACTCCAGACATCTTTCTGCCTAACTAAACTTGCAGTTTGTTGCTTCTCTTGTGAACCATAAAATCGAGGTCGCACTATACATATTCTTCAGCACATTTATTTTTTCATAGTGTACCTTGAACATCCTTCTGTAAGTACATATGCATCTTATTTTATCACTTTTTAAAATTTGTACTATATACTATATTTTCTCAGCATTACTGCTTAATTTCTGAATCACTCATAAAAATTGATTAAAAAAATAATGGTGATTCCAGGACCACCTCTGGCTAGTCTGTGTTTTTGCTCTAGGTGAGGGTTCCCTGGCCTGCTGCGGGTGATAGGGGATTGCTGTTGTTACAAAACAGCAAAACTATGTAGCTAGTATTTCCTCCAACCATTGGGCTCCAGGACAAGAAGGCCCTGGGTGGGCTGCTTAGCAAGGAAAGGTAGAACATCCTGGAAACGCATTCCTAGACCAGACACCACAGGGCAGCCAGTTTCTCCCACGCATCCCCTCCCCCAAGCCTGCAATCAGCAGTAATTTCAGAGAAATAAAGCAAATGGATTGCCACATTCCTACACGTCCATTGCACTTGACTATTCTTCACAGGAGCTGCACAGGACCGAATGTTTGGAAAGGAAATTGGCTGGCCATGGTATCTTTTTCTTTCTTCCTTCCTTTTTTAAAAAAATCTTATTCTGCTGCAGCTGCAAAATAGGAGGAAAAAAAATCCAACCTCCCACTAATCAAAGCCCTTCTTGGAAAAAATTTCCAAGTATTTATTTATTTATTTATTTATTTATTGAGAAGCTTTTGCACATTCCACATTTGTGCTTATGCATGCTGAGGCCTCTTGCTAATCCACTGAGACCTTTAGAAACATTTTTTTTAAAAAGTTAAACATTAAGAGATGTGTTTTCTTGCAAATAAGTAGGTCCTTTGAATCAGGATTAACTTTTGCATTCTTTGGCTTCTGAGGCTCTGTAGCCCCGACTGCTTTCTTAGCAGTCACAGTCACTCCTGTGTGGCCAGCAGTGCAACGCTGGTACAAGGCGCTTTCCAAACCTGGCCTTGCGTGTGGGGTTAGCATGTGTAACCCTGGCCTTTGCTTCAGTAGGTGTAATTGCTTCTAGCAACTACTACTAGCACCACGTTACTGAGTAACTTCATCTGTCTGCTTAGGATGGTGCCACAGGGTGTTGGGTCCTCCTGCATCTCCCTGATTGTCCTCTAGCCCCACATGCCACCTTCAGGGGACACTGGACAGACATGAAGTCACTCACATTGTCACAACATTGAGCCTCCTCTGCCTACCACCAGGCCAAGTTCTCACCTTTCCTGGCCCAGATCAAGGGACATATTTGTTCTGAAATTTTTCTTACCCATTTTTCCCTCTTGCTCTTCCTAGGAAAAATGAGGCCTCCAAAATTAGGTGGCATCGGTTCATAGTATTATACAGCATAGTTCTGGTCATCAGTAATAGCATTATTGTTATAACAAAAGTAACTATCTTTAGGTACTCTTTCACTGCTAGACACTGGGCTAAGGCTTTATCATTTAAATGTCATTTGAGTTTTTATGAAGGAGAAAACTAATGTTGGGTGACATGAAATTGTCCAAATGCCCAAGTGCATGGCAGAGTCTGGCACTACCCCAGCTAGTGACCTTCACCCTGTGCCATGCAGCTCACCTGTGCCCCTGCCTCATTTATACAGAAATGTTCAGTGCGATGCTTAGTGGGGGAGCTGCTGGATCTGCCTTACACATTTACCTAGACAGAAGGAAAATGAGCTCAGAAACAGAGGTTGCTGCCTTAGCAGCCCTGGGAGCCCATACTAGGACGCTGCAGCCGCACTCCAGAAATGCTTGACTGTTCTCTAGGGTGGGAGGAGGACTGGGTAGAGAAAAGCACACTTAAGAAAAGCCCTGGGTGAGAAGTGTAGGGATGGCACCCTGAGCTGCATTCCCCACCACTCCCTTTGGCAGGGCCCACAGACCATGTGTCTAAATATTTAAGAGTTATAAATCAAACCAACACACTGTTGAACAAAATATGTTCTATTCTCCCACCTTGACAAATCTAACCCCACAGCAATGTGGAAGGCCAGGCTGTAATTTACAGTTCTCAGGTCTGAGCTTTCTCCACTGGAATGAAATGGTGCAGGGAGAGGAGGCCCTGGCAGAGGCCATCTGTGGACATGGGGGTAGCACCATCAGAAAAGAGTGCTGGTGCACCGAAAGTGAAGCCCAAAGTGGGTGGGGTCTTTGCTCTGTTAGCAGGGATGAGGCAGAGGGGAGCCAGAGCCAGGCCTGTGACAGCAGCAGCTCTGAGCAGGGCCTTCTCTTACCCCTAACCCCACCATTGTACTAAAGCAATGAATGCTGATGATAAAGAAGGAGCATTGGTGATTCATAGCAGAAGCCAAAGACTGGGCCTGTCTCTCTCATCACTGTAGATCCTCTCTGTAGCTCACACTCAAAACAGCCTGACACACATTAAGCACTCAACAGATCATGATGGGATTGCCGTCACGAGAGCCAAGGTGAAGTTCAAATCACCAGTTGTCAGGCTCTTGTTATGGTTAAATCAACAATGCTCACCAAAGCCTCATATGCTCAAAGTCATGGCTTTTGGAAGGTGATTAGATCTTGTTAGAAGTGGATCATTGGGGGCAGGAGTTGAAAGTGTGCATCTCCCTTCCTGGCTCCTCCTTTCTCTCTCTGATTCCCAACCGCCATGAGGTGAGCAGCTTTCCTCCACCCAGGCCCTTCCCCCCATGTAGTTTCTATGTTTAAGCCTGATGAACATGGATTGAAACTTCTGAAACTTTGAGCCAAAATAAATCTCTCCTGCTTTATCTTGTGGGTGTCAGGTATTGTGTCCCAGCAATGAGAAGGTGACCAACACAAACACCAAAGTCCCTGCATACTTTGGATGCTTTCTGAAGTAAACTGGGAGTCAAGTAGCTACTGATTCTTTCCCATTTTGTCAATCAAGGTTCAATACCTACCAACATCCCGCCCCCCTGGGGGATATTGTCAAAATACTAAAGTATGTACTTTTAGTATTAGCAAATACTAAAAATAAATGTTTTTTGTTCAAAATATCTGCATTTTATGTATTAATTATATTGAAACATTGAAAGAAAAGTTGCCTGCTTTAGGAAAGTTAACAAGTTCCTATTAACTTTAACCAGAGGAACTTGAAATTTGAGCACAAAAGTTTCTGATGTTCACCTGGAAGGGGGTTGAAGGAATTATGTGTGAATTCCTTCAGGTCTGAACAGCCACCACTACCCCACTGTTTCCTTCCAAGCAGGGTTTTCCTTGAGTACCAGGTCTCCTATTTCATTTGGGGAGCTTTATTTTGTGCTCTGATTTCTGAGAGTAGTTGCCCATTTCTGTGGATGCAACAATGAAGGGCAGCCCATGTGGGGTCCATTCTTGTCATGACAGCCTTCTTCCCTGTACCACTTAGGGGGCTCCTCTGTTCCTTTTAAAGTCACCATAATGGGCTTGGATGTAGCCCACTGATAGAGCACTTGCCTAGCATATGTGAGAGCCTGGGCTCAAACTCTATCTCCATACACAAAAAAGAATAGAAAATAATAATAATGATAATAGTCATCATAACTTACTCTGTGTGCTTAGAAATGCATTCCCTTGGATAATGAATTACAATTTTGATTGAGTTTCAACAAAATACTTGGCTAAAAATACATAAAAGACTTTATTTGGGGGCATGCCATACCCCGATTTAATTTTCCACATTGTTTATTCCAAGATCAGAACAAACATCTTTAGTGTTTTCCATTTCCTAACCTTTCTTTGCCAAGGTTCATTTAAAATAGTTAAGGCTTTGGTGAATGACAACATGGTAACCCCACTGTTTGGGAGGTGGAGAAGGAAGTGTGATGTAAGGTTAAATGATGGACGACAGGGAACCCCTTTTCTTGACACCAATTCTAAATTTGCAAGAAACTTGAACCCGAGAGTGCTTGATTCTTCTGCCATTTCATGACTGAGGATGTTACAGTCATGAAAGAAGTCTTTGAAATGTTAAATAGGATGCTTGTGGTTTCAAAACATTTTCTTCTTTTCTAGTGCACTTTCACTCAACTGTCTTCACTGCCCCTCTCTCTTATCTGAGATGTTCTGCCAAACACACACTTTCTCCAAGGGATCCAGCACTTGCCCTGACAAAGATGGCCAACCCATGAGCAGGTCAGAGAGCTCTTGAACCCAAAGGGTCCCCCAAGTATTCTGTCCAAGACCCTTAGAACAATTTCCCACAGGTTAGATGGTTGCTGATATCAGTAGCAGCTCTTAACTCTTTGTTCAGAGATAAGTAAGAGCCAAGACAAGGAATATGCTTCATTTTCCTCTCCCTGGCCAGGAGTCTCTATCTTCTGAGGCTGCTCCCAAGACTCAGGCAGCTTTTGTATTTTTATTTTGTTCGGAGGGGGGGGCATTTTTATTGATATATGACAGTAAATTCTGTTTTTCTCAGCAGTCACTAACTTTTGATCCTTTCCACCCCACCATCCGTGACCGCCTTTCATCTTGCTGCAGGTGTGACATTCCTGATGCAGGCTTGGGAGGTATTCACCTTGAAAAGAGCCCTATGTCTCTGTGAGTCTCCAAGGAGAAATAATTTAACTTTTTTTGTTATTTGTTAACCAGGAAGTTATGTCTGGTTAGAAGCTGTCTCTTAGAACTGAGGGTTAGCCCTCAGCATGGTCCATTAGACAGGTCTTCAGGAAGTGTCTGCAGAATGAGCCAGCATAATTTTATGAAAATCAATGCCCCACTTGAGTAGCTGCACAGGTGAAAATATCTTCTCCATAATACTTTAGTAATGAAAGAGAAAGTGTGGCAAAGGCACAACCCTTTGAATGATCCAAAGGCTTTGAATAGGACAGGATGAAAAAAAGAGGTAAAGTTCTTTGAGGTGAGCTTGTGTGGAAATGGGCTAGAGCTCTAGTGCAAAATAACAGGCTGAGTTTAAAGTCCTTCTTCTTTCAAAAATTCCCTTGAAATGAAAGAAAAAAATAAAGTAAAAATGTGCTGGAAGATAGAAATTGTACCACCAGCAATTGGATTCCTAGGCAATAATGAAGGTGTACTAATGCTAATGGCAGGAGAAAAAACAGCAACAGTATCCTCAGACAGCTGTAGGAGGAGGTCCTTATGCACAGGCAGGTTAGGCACATCAGCAAGAGAGACAAGCAGGCTTGCAAAGATGGGCCTTCACCCCAGCATGCTCCTGCTCTCTTCTCATTCAGGGTAGTTGGCTGGGTCACTGGAGAAAACAGCTCTTTGATTTGTGTGTGTGCTGAGCATAGAGTAGAAGATTCAAAAAAATATCAAACAAAATCAATCATATAAACAACTTCACAGATGATCAATTTCTAAAAATCCTAAGTAAATTTATAGCAAATTTAACTGCATAGAATATTAAGAGAATAATTTATCATGACCAACTAGGTTTCATCCCAGAAATGTACTGGCAAGCTGAGCCTCCAGTACGGTATTAGTGTAAAACAGCAACAACTGATAGTTCCATAGATTTTGGACAGGCAATACTCAGGAATCAGTTATTTTTCTCAGAGCTGGAGAGCGGGTGGAAAGGAATGGTTAGAAAAAGACCTTCACTGACTGGCCAAATTTTGTTTGTCTGGCTTTCTGATTGGGTCTAAGACTCGGGGAACCCACTTAAGTCTATGCATTTACCAACTCTGTGGCCATGATGAAGCACAGAATCTCTTGGAGCCGCCCCCCCCACACACACACACCGGGATCAAACTCAGGACCTCATGCTTGCCAGCCAGGCACTGTGCCTCTGAACTACATCCCCAGCTCCATTGGAGGTCCTTTTTGGTTTTTTCCATCAAAACTGTATACTATACTGTATACATAAACCACACAACAGGTGCTTTGAACTGGGTTTTACTGTTGGTGGTCACACCCTGTCCCTGGATTGAAGACCTTGTCTTGCTCATCTTTGCAGACCATGTGGATTTGCACAGCATCTCACTCCATAAACACTCAGCAAATACCTCTGTGCTGAACAGCTATGGACATGGTCCTTTCCCCAGGAGCAGCCCAATGTTAGGTGAAGAGCAGGGACTCCAGAGCCCAGACAAGAAATATACTTACAGCCAAATTCTAATTCTTCCTCTTAGGAGTTATGTGACCTTTCAGGGCAATAGACGTAACTCTTTGCCTTAATATCTCCATCTAAAAAGTAGAGAAAATGAAGTAATTTTCTCATGTAGTTATTGTAAGAATTAGATGAGATAATATATTAATTTGCTTAAAATAGTTCCAGAAATATGGTAAGTGCTATTTAAGAATTTCCTAGTTCTTAATTTCAACTCTTTTACACTTTTATTTTGAAATGAGTTCCCATGTACTATTCCCTAAGCTTCCTCTAATGCCAACAATGTAATGACCATAATGTAATGATCAAACCAAGGAATGTAGCACTATTTATTGGTTAATACAAAACTATTAACCTATCCTCAATCTTATTTAAATTTCCTACTTTAAGTTTTCTTACTAACATACCCTTTTTAGGTTCACTCCAGCATCTGACATTGCATTTAGGGTCATGTGTCTTTAATCCCTTCCGACACGTAACAGTGGTCCTGACCCTCTTGTCACTTGAAGAATACTCTCACAGTATCCTTTAATTTGTATTATTCTTATGATTCCTCAGGGTTTAGGCCAAGATTATGTATATTTGGCGAAACACCACAGACTTATTTTGGGTCCTTCTGAGTGAATCATATCTAGATAAGTCTAAAACTGGTGATGCTCACTTTGATTACTTGATTAAGGTGGAATCCAAACTTTTCCACTATATTCTTTAACATTAAAATAGTTCTTTAAAATTAGTAAGTATTTTATAGGGAAGACTTTGAAACTGCATCTATCCTATTTCTTATCAAAGTCTTTCTCACTCATTTTCACAGACCTTGAGGGTTTCTCAGCAATAACTACTACTGTGGTGTTTGCCTGGGGTGATTTTTATTTCTATTAGTCCTCCTACATCTACTCATTAGAACTATACCCATAATGTTAAATGTTCTCCTTCTATTTGGTTGGATTCATGATTATTGATCTTATTTCATTATATTATTATGTAACTTGTTGGTTCAGACAATCTTGGTCATCGAGGTCTTTTCAAGATGGACCCAGTATTCCTTCAACATTCACCCCCATTTGTCAAAGGACTTACAAACTTCAGGGCACCGCAAGACGTTCCAAACTCATCTTGTCTTTTTTCCTGTTCTCGTTGTGGAATCAACCACTTTCCTAGGGAATTGCAGCTTTTAAAAAAAGGAAAGTGGCATTTAGAAACCAAGATCTGGTGCCAGGTGTGCTTTCTGCTATTGAGGTTTCATGACTTCTAGGTCTTTTCAGTGGGCAGAGTTAGGAAATACATGCACAGATGATCACATACACATTCAACTTGGTTTTAAGGAGCTAAAGCGAGAGACATTTTCTGTCCTCTTCTGAGGCCCAGATGATGGGTCACCAACTTCCTTGTCATTCTGCATGTCTGCTTATTGCTTCAGTGGGTCCCCTGGTGCAAGAGCTCTGTCTAAATGCTTAAGCAGAATTAATGCTCTTGACTGTAGGCAAAGGAAATTAAAAGGCTTTGCTCCCTCTAGTGGCCAGACTGGGTAATTGGTATCTTATGGTCCTGGCACAAGGGTTGAAGGTATGAATGAGATATTAGACTAACAAGCAATTTATTGCACATATTTACCTATAAGGTAACATATATAATCAGATGGAATTAGTATGTGACTATCCTGTAGCATGAATTACCCTAAAGAGGGTAATTTTATAACTAACGCTTGGATGGTTTACTTGAAATTATAATATAAACTACATTTTATAAAAGCATTTGCAGCTGCATTTAATAGCACATGTCTCTAATTCCAGCACTCTGAGAGGTTGAAGCAGGAGGACCTCAGCCTGGGAAAATTAGTGACCTAGTGAGACCTAGTCTCAAAATGAAAAACATTTTAAAAAGGGCTGAGGATGTAGCTTGGTACAAAGGCACGGGGCTCAATGCTCAGTACCAAAAACAAAACAAAACAAAAGTAGACATTTACACAGAACATTTTATTAAATCCTCAAACATCTTGTACGGTATATGAAGACAGATATTCATTATTACAACTTTACATCAAAGAACCAATTTCAAAGAGGTTAAATAAGTTTCTTAAGTTAATAAAACTCATTTGGAACAGTCCTGGAGCTTGAATTAGGCTTCTGCAGGAAGGAAGAGTTGGTCTGTTTTGTTACTGCTAGCCACTTGGTCTTTCTGTTAAAAAATGTAAGGCTGTGTTAAACATCTCATTGCACTTGAAAAAAATTGACAAAACGCGAATCCAGAAAAATCTGGCTCCATAATTTTAAAAAGGAAGGAAGGAAAGAATGAAACAACATCTCCCACATTTTGACTCTTGAAAATATTTTTAGCAGTTCATAAAAGTGAGAAAAAGACAATCCTAACTATCAGTGAAGTTCTTTATCAAGTTAACACCTAGTTAAAGCAGGTAATGGAAGCCTTGTAAATACAGAATCCAGACTCTCTATAAACTTGCTACCACCAGATGTGGATGGAGCAACACCGGCCTGGGAAGCTGGCCACCATAAATCCCCATATAACCACCCCAAACCACGCCATCACAGGGCTAACATAGTCTTTACTTTGCCTGAATAGAGATATCACCATAAATCCACAGCTAACTAAAAGGCTCTGCTTTCTCTCTCTCATTTACACAGATTTGAAAATAGGGGAGAGATTGATCAATACACTCATCTTTCTGCAATCATTCGAGAGCCCGTGATGGCTGTGGGGATGATGTATGCCCCACACCATGTGAATCCCTAAAAGCTTCTGTCTTCTCAAGGTTATTACAGAGGCAACCACGGGAAGCAATAAAGCTGTGTCATTTACTTAACGTGAGGGATTTAATCTTGTCTCTCCTGGTACTTCCTCTCCTCTATTTTAAAAAAATGCTGACTGGACAGTATGAGGAATAAAGAAAGGTGCCAGTTTCCAACGTTCAGGAAGTCCATTTGGTGAATTGATTCTACAAAAATAAAAATGTATCAAATATTCCCCAAATAAAAGTTAATGTTAGGGTAACTTTTGAATTGATGCCAGACTTAAGCTGCAAGATGTATCATTTTTACCCAAGCACCAAACAGGACACAAAAGAGACCCTGCCACCCTCATTCCTATGGGGCTAATAGGGTTCCAAGGACAGATGGCTGGGTTATTTGGAGAGTTGATTTGCATGAAGATCACCACAAATGTTTAAATTGCCAATGTACTGTGAAATGCAATTGCTAAATCTGGTTTTGAAAATCAAAATGGGTGAAGAGTTTTCAAGACTATTTGAAAGACAAATAAGAAAAAAACAAACCTGTGAAAACATGCATTCGACAGTCTTTGAGGTCAAGGCTGTATAGGGAATTCACAGGCTTTATAAAATCCTTTTCACTGACTTTTCCCTGTGCCTAGCTAGCCAGTGAGGGGACCAAGTGCGGCTCCTGCCTGTGTCCGGCTGGGGTCTAAGGGGGAAGCTGTGACACCCCCCCCACACCTCCCACGCACAGGTGTCTGAAGCCCGGGGGAGCCTGAGGAGGAGCGTCCCTGCCCGGATGGGTGTGGCGCCCTTTCACAGTCCACTCCAGCCTGGGCACAGTCCCAGAGTGCCACGGGGACCTGAGAAGTCTCACTTCCAGCCAGGCCCACGCAGCAGGAGCTACGGTGACCTTGGCCTCGTCCTGCTTGCCTGTTCCTTGGATGGCGGGGCAGGAGGAGGAGGAGTTGCTTCAGCACACGGCCATCTAGAGCCTGCCGACCAGGTCACGGAGAAGTCATCATCTGTGATTAAACTGTCCAAATCCACATAGCAGGGGTAGGAGCCATCCCCGGAGTAACCCGCTCTAGCACACGACTGGAAGCTTAGGGGCCTTGCTCGCCCTTCCCAGCTGCCGCCTCACTCACTATGAGCTCAGCAGCACAAAGGCTCTCTTCTCACCCACTCCGTGTGTGCTGTCCACACAGTCCGAAGCACACTGGCCAAAGTTCGCTGCTCTCAGACCTGCATGGAGTCCTGCTTCCCGGAAGTCTCTGCATTTCCTTTTCCGGTCAGAGCATGCGCACAGGAGTGGTGGATGTAGTCTTGTTCCCTTAGTGCCACGACGCCTGCAACCTACCTCCTGACGCTCTAAGCCCTCAAGGTCTGTGTCGTGCATCTTTGTAGCCCAATGCCAATCCCAGTGTTTCGGATGCAGTCAGAACTGGATAAATCTATTCTTCTGGCATGAAAGAATTAATAAGGAAGCATGAGAAATAGTTATTTTTTCACTGTGACCAGAGTGTGCACTTGGATCTAAGATGCAACTCAAGGAAGTTCTAGTCCAACCTAATGTTTCTCAAAGTACAGCTGGCAGAACATAAGCGCCTTTGGTACACTTTGTTCCATTTCCTCTCGAAGGAGAAGTGGAAAAGGATGTTCTATGGTCAGGTTAGTTCCGGACGTGCTGCACACTGCATTGCCTTTTATTGACCTATGAGTTACGTGTACTTGATGAAAAGATAGACAAGAAACCTTTTAAATGTGGGTTTCATCTGGGGTTTAGCAAACTAAAGAGAGGTATGGCAATTGTGTGTTGTTTTATCAGCAAGCCCTCAGCAAGCCCAGGAATTGCTGCAACTGGCTGACTGGAAGAAAACTGACTAGAAGAAAACTACAAAAAACAGGGGCTTTCCTTATAGCATCAGTTCTCAAAGTGTTGTTCCCTGGACAGCAGCATTGCCTGGGAATGTGTTACAAATGCAAAATCGTGGGCCCCACGCCCAGACCTGCTGCACCAGGCACTGAGGGGCAGAGGGAGGCTGAGTTAGGAGGACCAAAAGTTTGAGTCCCACCTGGGGATTTAGTGAGCTCCTGTTTCAAAATAAAAAACAAAAAGGATTGAGGATGTAACTCAGCGGTCAGAGTGCCTCTGGGCTCTATCCCTAGTGCCAAAAAAGAAAAGAGAGAGAAAGAGAGAGAGGATCAAATTATATGCTATCTGTAAGAAGCTCATTTTAAATACAAGTAGGCTGAAAGAAAAATATATATATATATTATTCAATCATAAATCAAAGAAAGAAGAGTGGCTATATTAATGTCAGACTTAATAACAAAGAAAATTACCAGAAAAAGGGACATTATATAATGACGAAAGCATGAATTCACCAAGAAGATACAGCAGGCATAAATGTGTATGCACTGAACACAGAGACCTCAAATAATGGAACTGGAAGAAGAAATTAACAAACTCTTAAAATTATAGTTGAATACTTCAAAACCCTTGTCAGAGCAATTAATAGAATGACTGGATACAAAATTAACAAGAATATAGAAGAGCTCAATGAGACTGTCAGTGATGGGATCTAATGGACACTTAATAAAACACCTCACCCAATAAGCAGAATACACCTTGCTTCCAAGTGCACATGGGACGTATATGAAGATAGACCATGTCCTGGCCATAAAGCCAATCTCAACAAATGTAAAAGAATTAAAATAACACAGCATATGTTCTCTCACCACATTTGAATTGACTAAAAATTAAAAACTGAAAGATAAAAGAAAAATCTGCAAACCCTTAGATGCTAAATGAGACGCTTCTAAATAATCCATGGGAGAAACAGGAAGTCTTTGGAGAAGGAAAAAATACATTGATCTAAATAAAATTTAAAAGAAAACATACCCAAATTTGTGGGGTACTGCTAAAGCAGTGCTGAGAGAGAAATTTATAGCAAAAAAATCCTACATGTGGACAGACAAAAGTCTCTGTAATCTCAATTCTCATCTTAGGAACCTAGAAAAAGAAAGAGCAAAATGAACCCCCCAAAAATAGAAGGTAATGATAAAGAACAGAAATAAGTGAAATTGAAAAAAAAGCCAATAGAGAAAAATCAATTAAAGATTATTTCTTAGAAAAGATTAATAAAATTGACAACCCTCCACCAAAATTGACAAAGAAAAGAGGAAAGAAGATAAACATTACCAATATCAGGAGTGAAACAGAGGTTTTCATTATAGATCTTGCACACATCGAAAAGATAAACAGGGATTGCTGCAAACAACTCTGACATAATTAGAAATTACTGAACAAGTCTAAGAAAATATAAAATACCACAATTCGTACAATAGTAAGTAGCTAATCTGAATAGCCGTATTCAGAAATAAAATTGTTCCTATTTGCATAAAAAGGAAGAAAGCCAAGCTGTA